TTGTTGTAGATCACTCAGGGTCACGATTTCGAAAGTTGCTTCGCGTGGAAGTCGTGCGCCCCCAAGCCGAGGGGAAGGTGGGGTCGTTTCGCGTTAAAAAAAACCTAACCCTAACCTAACCCATTTTTTGATGCGAGGTGGCCCTTATTTCGCATAGAAGGTTGTAAACCTAATAGAACTTTACTTCTTGAATGTACAACTTTCCACGCGAGAGTAAAAAATGGGATGGGTGTGTTAGAGTTAGGTTTTTTAACGCGAAACGACATGGATTTACAACCTTCCACGCGAAATGAGGGCCACCTCACACCAAAAAATAGGTTGGGTTAGAGTTAGGTTTTTTTAACGCGAAACGACTTTCACTCTACCACTAGATCCACACATACACTTTTCAACACAAAGCGAGATTCTATATAGGTTTACAACTTTCGTTATAGCAGTGTGGCGACTCGCCACTAGAGGTCCACGGAACTCACTCGGTTCGCGTAAGCACCGTGCCGTGCGAATTCCCTTTAAATAGAGTATCATTCTGGATTTATTCCAGGCGTCTAAGGCAAGTCCCACACTACATCGCCTTACTGATGAGTCTAGTAGTGTGGGACCAGGACGAAACGCTGCAGCCGACCACAAAGCTTCGAGTCAGGCCTTCTTGGTGGACATTTCCACAGCAGAAATGACACATTATTAAAAAAACATTTTTTTGTTAATTACTTTTTGACAGCGAGCGACGGCTAAAACTTGTTGGAGGTTACTCAGGGTAATGACCTTGACAACACATGTCAAGGTCAAAGTCGTCGGCGAATGCTCCCCTTTTCTGCAGTTTTACCCCAATTTCTTTCCCATTTGTCAATAAATTTAATTTGATAGCTCTCTGTTCTCTGAGGAAAACGCTTAATAAAATCAACGTGTCAATTCTTTAACTTGAATATCTGGGTAATTATATTGATTAATCTCTATTCGAGTAACATCTTTCCAATACTTATCGTTTGTTACACGCATTTATCGGCTTTCTAATCAATAAGCGAGCGAATCTCGGAGGGATAACTCCAGTATTCGCTCCACTTACGTCTTCACTGCGTCATGTACGGTCAATTACCCTCGTAAATACATCTCATGGCGGTGCATTCATAAAATGCAAGTTACTACTTCTATCTTACTACACAAAAACATGCCATTCCTGTGTCTTCGAGCATAATTTTTTTGTATGTTACTTAATTTTTATTACGTTAGATTTGTTCTTCTTTTACGCGGGCATAAATATCAGCTTATCGACTAGTTTAACGTGCTGTTTAAGATAATAACAAGTTGAAATCTACATTGCAATCCGTATTAGTTTTATTGCCACTCGATTAAATTAAGTATTTGTCTCTAATTATACATTTACGTGCGTCACGCGATTACTACGCGATACACAATTTTTATAATATACAGTCTCAAAAGTATTCTTTCTTCTTTTACTAGTCGCTTCTTATATATATACTATACATGTACATGTCCTCGCTTTCGTCAGCGAAAGTGAATGGAACGCGACAAAGTTTCTAATCGGTCAATTTGTATCAAAAACTACTTGCATGTTCGTAATCAAATGTTATAAGTACGTCTAATAAAGATTGTAAGCGTCACAAAACAAATTAGTGATTGAGATCAGCATGTAAATTGTTCTATATAATTTTACTAATGTAAGTTATAGTGCATAAATACGTATAATACAACAATACAAAAATCAATAAATTAACGCACTTAATATTAGTTTCTCAGTTTTTATAAAATTCAGCAACTTTTATTTTTAATAAGAGGAGATCGTTGAAAAATTCTTAATTTTCAATTTCACAATTATTAAAAGATTATTGCAAAATTTTATTATCTTTCTTCTTAGATTAACGATTACATATCTCCCAGTAAACACAAAGTAATAACATTGATTTATAACATTGATTTATAATTTTACACTCAAAAATGCATAACAACAAACAATTACATAAAATATGTGCTACAATATCCCAATCAATAGACAATGTTTTTAAAAATGTTTTTAAAAATATTTAAAAAACATTTATAAAAACATTTTTATAAAATTAATATTAAAAATAAAGCGGTTAAGTCCCCTTTTTTTGATTTAAAAAACGTTTATTGTAACGTTTGAATAAAAATTTTTTTAACGTTTAAAAAACGTTTATTTAACGTTTGAAGAAACATTTCTTTAACGTTAAAAAAATCTTTTTTTAATGTTAAAATTACTTAAACAAAATTAGAAAAAGTAACAAATGTAGAATCTTTTTTTAATTTACTTTTTTTTTTATCAACAGTGCCTAAAACCTTAGACTACCATAATTTTATTAATTAATTTCTAATTTTTAATTATATTTTAATCTTTTTCTCTTACCGGCCAGGTTTTGAACCTGGGATCTCAGGGCTAAGAGTCTCGTACCTTATCCGTCACGACACTTATATATATATATCGATGCACACAGTTCTTATTATCCATATATGGTACATACTTATCGCAATTATATTGTATTAACTTCTCTTCCGTGATTATTTTATTACTCCGATCAGTTTTTTATTAAATTGAGCTTTAGAAAATAATATTTTTTACATATTTATAATAAACGTCAGATAAATGTTATATAAATGTTCTTTTGATTATATTTCAAATAAATAAAAAACAAACGTTTATTAAACGTCATATAAACGTTTAAAAAAGATTTAATAATCGAGCATTAAATAAATGTTTCTTTAAACCATTATTTCAAACAGATAATTAATGTGAAATGAACATTTACTAAACGTTAAATAAACGTGAAATAAATATTTCTTATCACCACATTTTAGATAAGTAAATAATCTAAAATAAACATTTTATAAACATTAAACAAATATTTTTAAAATATTTCTTTAAACCATTATTTCAAATGAATAATTAATGAAAAATAAATATTTGATAAACATTAAATAAACCATTTAATGGTTTGAAAAAATTGTTTTTTCAAATCATTATTTCAAACGAATAATTAATGTTAAATAAATATTTAATAAACATTATATAAACGTTAAATAAAGGTTTAAATAATGTTTTTTCAATCATTTATTTCAAATAAAAAATTAGAATGTAAAATAATATTTAATAAACATTATTTTACATAAAATTAAAGTAACAAAAATGAAATTAATGTTAAATTAATGAATTTTGAAAACGAATCGTGAAAAATGTAAAATTAATGAAAAATAAACATTTAAAAAACATTGTCTGCTGATTAAGATATTATATTGTACTATTGAATGTGAAATTATAACAAGTGATGTTATGTTATCATTAATTAAGTATTTATGCTAGGCCAGCAAACAAGCTGATATTTGTAAATAATGTCAGTCTGCTAAAGGACAGTTCCTCGTTTGATAAACATTAAATAAACGTTTAATGGTTTGAAAAAAATTTTTTTTCAAATCATTATTTTAAACGAATAATTAATATCGCAAAATTTACCTTCGTAAAATTTAACATCATTTAAAATATTAGTATGCAGGACGTGATCCTCTCGGTCCGCACTCAGAGGTTTCTCTCATAGTAAACTTCATTATAGTCGGTAAAATCGATTCCTTCTTTTCTTGCTAGATAATCTCGTATGTGAATTAAAAGGTAATTAAAACAGGAGGATTTAGCATCGCCTTAACACGGGTCTCTTCCTTTTTTTAATATTTTCTAATTTTTTGGTATATTAATTTTATCTCTATACATTGTTAATTTTATATTGTGACAAAATTTTCCACTGCGATATTGGTATTTGTTTCATCACAAACTAACACACTGACGCTGAATGATTTAAGGCTAATTCTAAAATGTGCTCTTTGTTTCCTGTTTCTTATTATTTGTTTCTATTTGTCTTTTGCTTTTTTGATCAAGAAGGCAAGAGACAAACAGCAAAAAACAGGAAACAAAGTGTACATTGTAGAATAGGCTTAATAATTGACGTGCTTCTTCTCGACATGCGAAATTTAATTATATGGCCCAGTTAGGTGAGTTATTTTACAAGAGTGACGCTTTTACTCAAATTCTTTTTCGTTTTCTTTTAATTTATATCTAATTGGACTTTTTACCAGAACATCGGGAAATTTTAAACAACCGGTCGTTCAGCTGTTTTGCGAATAATTTCCGTCTCTTTACAAAATCATCTCTCTGGTCTTCATTAACATGTTCATAATTTTATCTATTTCTTCGACTGCGTTTAATCAATATAACATCACCTGTTCATATACGACTTTCATATTTGAAGATGGCTCAATCGTTAGACCAGAACATGTAATATATATATAGAACTTTTAATTATTTATAGAATATTATATTAAATATATACATTTAGTTTGAGGTTTTATGTTTTAAATAATTTTCTCTTTATATTTAACTCTTAAGTGCCCTGTACACTCCTTGTTATTTAAATTAAGAGTCCTTTGTTCTTATATAATTTACACGATAATTATACACGATTCTTATAATAGTTTATATATATTTATATAATGATCATACATAAAAAATTTTTTATCGAGATGTATAACATCAGTACTACACAAGTAATTATGTTATATTGTTACAACCCAGATAGCAAGCTACGTCATTTTGATGTCAAATGACGTTATTTTGACGTCAGCTTGCTACCAGGGAATTCAAAAGTCATTTTTTCGTGTTTTCAGAACAACAGCTTACAAAATAGCAGACATATGTATGCATCCTCCTCTATAAATCCTTTCATATTATGAAAATACAAATCACGCAATATTTTATATCATCAAATATAGCGGCAAATGTGCAGTATAAAACCGCACTGAGATCTACACACGTAACACGTATTCAGCTGAGAGTGCAAGAAACTCGCACTTACGGCAATCTCGTGCAGTGCTGCTGCCACTGAACGAGTTTTATTGCACTCGTCAATTCTAGATTGCACTAATTCTGTTCAATCAGAGAATTCCTCTCTGGTTCAATTTAGTTCTAGTGCAATTCTCGTGTAGGAACAAAAAATAACCGAATGTCTGAAGTCCCCTCTGATTGGTTCGTGACACCTCAAGACAGAACCACAGAACTCTAGCAGTTAGCGTGGTTGTATCTTGCTGCTTTCTGTTTATATTAATGTGAGTGCTGCTATTAATTTATTGGGATTTATTACGTGAGTCAACGAAATGAATATATTGAATCGATACCCGCAATTCGCTCGTCTGAGTGCTCTTTGTCATAAGAATGTACGTATGAATGAACTTATGGTTTATAGTCCGTTTCTAACCTCATCTCTTTCTAACCTAAATTAATACTCGTAAATGCGATATAGTAAGACAGAACAACGGGAAAAAGTCAGAATTATGTACAACTTCAGCAGAAGCACATAATCTGAGAGTAATAATATAACATTCTAGAACTCAGATGTCATATAACTTCAAGATGTTGAAGGCTTAAAACTTGTCAATTGGTGGGTCTAACTCCAAGAACCCTTCCTCATAAATGATATACTTTTATAGAAATTTAATACTGAAGGATAGTAACTACTTACTTTGAGTGTTGAAAGCACTGTTGTGTAGTGCTTTTAATACTGAAAATAAATAATTATTTACTACATTACACTATTTTATTAACTAGTATTAAATTAGATTTCTTCAAGGATAGTAGGCAATGATAAGTAAAATTATCTTGTTATTGAAATCTCTTTGTTGAAATCGACAATTTAATTGGAAATTATAGTCCTCTCTAGAGGAATAAAATAAAATTCGCTTTGATTTTAGCTTGATGTTTTCTCAACTTTTTCAGGTCTCTCGCTTTTCTACAGAAAAAACTGACAGTCCACCGATACCTGTGAATCCTCTGAAGGATGTGTACAGTGCCAATGATCAAACTGGAACCGGAGTAATATATGACAAAAAACCGTTCAGAATACTTCTTAAAACTGGCAAGAATTACTCATGGTGCCTATGTGGACGGAGCAAAAATCAGCCGTTCTGCGATGGCACACATAGAGACATTTTCCTTAAGATAAAGCTGAGGCCCATACGTTTCACTGTTACGGAGACTAAGCACTATTGGTTGTGCAATTGCAAACAAACATTGAACCGACCTTTCTGCGACGGAACGCACAAAAGGCAGGATATACAGGAAAAGAGAATATAGATGACATAAAACTGTATTGTTGATATAACAATGAATTTTTTAAGTAAATATTACTTTTTCGGTCGTGTGCCGTGCCTCTATAGATATCTGGAATGGTGTACATAATATACATATTAATAAAAATACTTTTAGCACATATTACAAACAAAACTAATATCATTTCTAATTCCTTCTTTAGACAATAATGATCGGCCAAACTGATTAAATAAAAAGTATTTCTAAACATAATTATTATTTAACTTAATTATTTGTTAAAACTTAAATAAGTAAATCATTAGAAGATATTCAAACTTGCTCGTGATATTAAAGTAAAGATTACTTTTATAGCGTGCCATATCTTTTATAGGTAATTAGAGTGGTGTATATAAATGCATATTAATAAAAATATCTTTGATTTATATTATAAGTAAAAGTAATCCCATTTTTAAATCCTTATATTATAAGTAAAAGCAATCCCTTTTTTAAACAATATAATAATAGATCAAATTAATTAAATAGAAATTCTTAAACATAAATTAAATACATATCTTTTTATAAAATAAAAAATATTGAGATTAAATTGTGAATCCTCGAATTTTGGGACACACTGTATACATAATGTTCATTTAGATGTAATCAGTAAAAAGGAGAGATTCCTGTTTATGTACTCTCTTTGCAAATTGGACAAAAATTAGATTTTCTTTAAAACGTAGACACTTATCTCACGTATGTATAATTAAAAACATTAAATTGAAAATATTTATAATGTGACAGTATTTGCATGATTTTTTGTTTATTGTATATTTTATAAAATTGACAAACAATTGTTAAATAAATGTGGACAAATCATGGACAATCGAATCCCTTATGAGATTTAGAGATAAACGTATTTACAAGTGTAATGACAAATTTTTTAATTTTTCATTTGTTTATAACTTACTTTTGCAAGATGGACAAAAGAATATGTATGGACATGCGTGAACAAATGGTAGACAGTCGAATTCTCTGTGTAATTTAGGGTCTCTTTCACCAATCTTGGTTAAGCTAACCGACGGTTATATGGGGCTCATTTAGGCCCAATTTTACAACTTATTAGCTTAACCGAGGTTGGTGAAAGAGGTCCGATTTTACAATATATGATTAACTAAAGATTAAATATAACCAAGAAATGCATGAATGAATTTAATTGATGAATCTGTTGGTAACCTTTAATCTTTAGATAACCATATATTGTGAAAATGGGCCTACAAGTGTAGCGACGAATTTTTTATATTTTCATAAATAGAAACAAAGGGCTAATGAGAGTATAATTACGGTAATTCTTGCGATGATTAAATTTATTACATATTACTATAATTCAGACGTTTCGGCCTTCATTCGAGCCATCCTCAGTGTATCTGACCAAACAATACATGTTGACTTCTACGGCTAAACGAGAGTGACCACTCATTCCATCTACACAATCGATTCGATGTTGATTCGATTGTTAATCGTTGTAATGTTTGCATGATATATCACGTTCTCAATTTTTAATATGGACAAGCTGCGGATTTTTCTTAATTTTAAGTAATTGTTCATGGCTGTACGGAATACATCTTCGATCGTTGCCACTAGTTTAGCCAATCTTGTGTCACGAATTGGTGTAGATTGAATGAGTGGTCACTCTCGTTTAGCCGTAGAAGTCAACATGTATTGTTTGGTCAGATACATTGAGGATGGCTCGAATGAAGGCCGAAACGTCTGAATTATAGTAATATGTAATAAATTTAATCATCGCAAGAATTATCACGATTATACTCTCATTAGCCCTTTGTTTCTATTTATGACATTTTCGAGAGTTATTGTTATCAATTTATATTTTTATATTTTCATTTGTTTATATTTTGATTTTGCAAGGTGGACAAAAGATAATTATAGATAGACAAATGCGTACACATGATGAACAATAGAATTCCCCGTACATAATTTAAAAGAAAATATGCATACAAAAAGTGCTAGAATTTTTTATTTATTTATAATTTTTTTGGAAAGTTAACAACAAATTATTTTTTATATACAAATTATGGATGATCGAATGCGAATTCGTATTTAGAGATGCCAACTTTACAAACTTCTAACTTCACTGGTTTCTACGTTTCAATTAAATTATACCTTCTACGTTCCATTTGAATTATACTTTATTGCCTTATAAATATATTATTTATCCCTATCAATCACGAAGACTTATTTTAAGCATTTTACTTCCATTTGATTTATGTCATAAAACTATTTTCATTTTTATGTTAATTAAATGAATAAGTAAATAATTAGAAAATAGAAAACATTGAGATTACATGGCAATATCGTTTTTCTGTCTTTTACTACATGTGTACGGCTTCAATGTTTCTACAATTATACAATTATCTTGTCTGATTGATGTGTATTTCCGAAGTCGGAAGTACGTAACATTTGCATCTCTATTATTCGAAAGAAAATGCAAAATTTGTAAAATGCAATGTGCATTATATGAGTCGCAGTGTGTCCATAGTGCTTTTAAATAATCGATCTTCTCGTAAAATCTTAAGACAACATATTTACGAAATGCCAAGCTTTAACTTACAATTGATGTTGTTCTTAATGTTTATGTATGTAGCGTATTTTGCTATCTGTGATCGTTGCTGCTTAATCAATCGCCACGAATTGCCGCAATACGATCTAATAAAAACCAATTTGCACTCGAGTCAACCGATCATATCACGAAGAGTGGTTTCCCACGTGAACGAGTGTAAGAAATTCGCCACGTCGAAGAAAGCTCTCGCCTTCAATTTTATTTCCGCGAGAAACCGCACCGGTATGCGAATGGCAGGCAATTAAACATAATTATAACATGTAATTATGATAATTTTGACAGACTTTCTAATTATAGCGAAACGTAACGCGAATTACAAGTGCAACCGTGTTATAAAACGCGATGTAATTATTAGTCAATTCAATTATCATGATTAATCCAGCACACTACACGTTTCGTGTAATTTCTTCAGCATATGTTCTTACGATATTTCTTTATCAACGCGCAGGTGGACAAGAAAACTCGTGTCAAGCTCTTCAATGTCCCGAAGATCAGAATATGACGACCCTCATGCCCGAGACAAATTGCAAATATTACAGCATGTATCCCGTTTTATCTCCGCCCGGTAATTACAATTACCAATTACAATTACTCGCATTACTCGCGTAAATTTGTATATCAGCACATATGTCGCACTATATCGAAATTAATTGAGCAAATAGTTATCAATATTTTAGAAAAAAATCAAAGTTTCTGTTTGTTTTGGTAAATATATCCTCGTATAATTGCAAATTACAAATTTGATGTGATATTTATGTAATATTTATACGAATATTAATTCCAAACAAAGTTTCATATTATATGAACATGATGATACTTGATATTCATGTAATATTTATATGAATATATTCCTTTTATAATACCATTAATTACTAATAAATAATAATAAAAGGTCATATATACCTTCATATTAGTTCAGTCATTAGAACATTTACTTTACAAGATGCCTGAATTAATTTTTTTAAACGTAAGCTTCTGACATTGTTAATAAAGATTACTTTTAGTGAATGCTACGATGGAGTGCATTCCTAAAGCGGGGATGTTTTTATTCTCGTCCGAAGTACTGAATTACACGGAGGCACGAAGTTTTTGCCAGAAACGAAACGCATCGCTCGCACATGTGATAAGCGAAGAGCGCACGGAAGGCCTCGGCAAATTAATGTCGCAGAATTTTTCCAGATTCGTTGGTCTCAGCAGCGAAAGGAATGAAAGAATTTGGAAGAACGAATTCGGTAATTTGCTACCATAGTTTACGTATCTTAATTGCAACAAGATAAAATCTTTCAATTCGAATGCCAAACATTTCTCTTTATAAAACTAAAAAAATATACATAATTTTTGACAGGTGAACCCTTATCTTGCTTCGATTATCGAGCGTGGGGCGAAGGACAGCCGTCACACTCGAAGGGTTGTGTTGCTCTCACAAATCCGTTTGCTAAAAGTTCGCCGCCCTTCTGGAAAGTGATGCCGTGTCACGCATTGCTGCCGTTTATTTGTGAAATCTCACCGTTGTCTCGAGAAACTTCGAAGCGGCGTTATGGGAATCACACATGATACGTCATCATGCATGATACGATTAAATGTATAATCAAATGCATTTCATGAGAGAAGCAATTATACATATAATAAAAACAAACTCGAGAAACCAGAATAACGTAATATTTTTTGATAGAATGACTCAATTGAAATAAATCAAATATAAGTAATCACTATAGGGCTACGAGCCAGTTAAAATGTTTATACTTTTTACTATTTTAGTTTTAAATATTAAATTTTATTAATTTTAATTTAACTCGTATTGTAATATTTTTTCTTTTTTGATGAGGTCTTCTTAGGTTTCACTTATGCCTGTTACCAATATTCAGCCCTTATTGAGATCCGATAATCTCGTACTGCTGCAACTCGCCGGTCGCGTAAGGCGTCGTCAGCCACGGTAGTGACTCTGCGCGTAGCTTAGCGCCGAGACACTACCAGTGTCTCCGAATAAATAACGTTAATTTCGATTCAATTGGCTTTTCATCTTTTTATAATTATTAAAACTAAAGAAAAAATGAAGAATAAGTTAAACTGAAACTTTGAAATCTAAAATTTATGGAAATAGGCTTTAGCAATGAGTGCGATATGGTCAAAATGAAGGCAGACATTAAATATGTATAGAGATTTAATGTAGGATTACAGGACTCCAGCATTGCGTATGTAGAGAGTGATTTACTCTCTAATGGCTTTATTTACAGGTACGATTGTTAATTCGACGTATGCACGATTGGACACGTTGACAAAGGAGGGGAAAATATATTTATATATATAACTCTCACTCGGATCGCGATGCGCTTATACATATATATATGTACATAATAGGCCTAACGTTAATAACATTAAAAATCGTTTCGCTCTTGGATCGTTAACTCCTTACGTTCTAGAGCATGCTTTCTACAGGGATATCACTTAGCAACTATGCAGCCAGACAGCTGTGCGCTGCCGCATTCGTCCGACGCTTTTCGACAGGATTTATCGAGAACAGCTCGTTATAGCGTGATATAAAAATGATCTCGATAAGATTCGATGTCGAACAACAACAATCGGAAATATAGTCTGCTATTACATTAGTCTTACAACCTCGTGGGCAACATCACTTATTCACCATAGCGCCGTACATAGTGATAAATCGAAAGCGTGTGAGAGATAATTATATCGTGATTAATACACGATCGACTACAATTTGTCGATCCACTGTGGCATTCGGATATATAATATTCGGGACGCGATACCTTTAGAATAAAGATTTCGTTACAATCGTTTCTCGCATGTTTTCACTCGATGCGCAGAATTAATGTTCAATTAATGTTCAATATTATTTTATTTACAGATTAACATTTTCTCAATGGTTCTGGAAACACCTGTTTCAAACAAATTCTGGAAGTTTACTGGCGAACGGAAAGGCCTTATTCGTAAGTACAGGCCTAATCTAATTAACGCATTTACATTGTTTTTTCTCAAAATGATTACGTTAAGATCGAAGTGTTGAATGATTGTGTTTATAATGATTGGATCGCAAGAGATTACTGTACGAGAGGGAAGACGATGTACCTGTAGAAATGCGAAACTATAACTAACTGATACTTGACAACTGTTCTAAAATGTCTTCGAGAGAGAGAGAGAGAGAGAGAGAGAGAGAGAGAGAGACATAAAATGCAATAAAATGTTTTAATTGAGCTTCCGCTTATCTTGATCATAAAGTGATTTTATTAAAAATCGTAATTATAGAAAAAAGATAGCAAAGATTCTTCCGAACTTGCTTAAAAACTATTATTGTCACGCATTACACTTGCAAGATGGTGCATAATGGTGTCGTATTCGTAAACCGAAGTTCGATATGAGTGAACATATATGCACGTAAAAATTGTCGCGTTCAAATGACCTGATCTGTAGCGAAATATAAAAGTATAAAAAGACGTGATTACAGCGACGAATCTGAACATGGTCTCGTTTATTTTGAACTTTCTTTTGTAAGCATGGTCGGTGTTAGACATTGATTAAGACAGTTGCCTTTGAGTTTGTATTAAAATGAACGTGTTACATATATATTATACAAATTAACACAATGTACGAAATTATAAAAAGAAACTCTTTTCAAAATTATCTATGATACTCTACAAATATAAAGAGGTACCTCTTTCGATAAAAGCTATTACATTTCATATCATCTAATATCCAATTAACTTCGTGGAGCTATTCTTGCGATGCCTTGCGATAAATTTTCGAAATAGCATATGTATGTCGATAAAAGTACGCTTTATAATGAATAATATCGATTTGTATCAAAGTAATACCTTTTCTCAGAAAAGGAGGAAAAAATTATGTATAAACAATTATTTAATACATACATTTGTTTAATTACACAAATGCATTATATTCAAATAATATAATAGATATAGATGATAAAGCCAACTTATGAATTGTATACCGATATCTTTCTAATGTTGGGGGACGGATTACACGTGAAATAAAAATTTATATTAAAAATCTTTCTTTTTACTGCATCGAACTTTTTCTCTATGCAGGAAATTAATAACGATTATATAATATATACCGTTATCAGTGGAATTAATTTAAAAAAAGACATTCCATATAAATGTAACGTAAATATAAATTTTTTCCTTGTAAAATTTGTTAGACTTATGAAGGTACACAGTTAAAACAATTTGCGAGACATTAGGGAGTTTTTGCAATACCGTTTATTCAGATACGGTAAACGCTAAGGTCAGGTTATTTTTTCTTAACAACTAATTAAGAAAAGAGTAACCGTGACTTTAGCGTTCATCATATCTGTGTGTGTGTGTGTGTGGATTCACGTTACTGCAAAAATATTTTCCTATTATTAAGTGATTGAGCCGCCCAAAATATATTCCGTTTTTATGCACAAACCTTAAATATTGTGCAGTATATTAATAATTCGACCAACATATACACATTCGAGCATCAATCAAGTAAACATAATAATAATTGTACTGCTTTCTAAATCTGCCAAATTTCGCAGTATGAAACTATGGTTGCTAAAAATTAATGGAGACGAGAGAGAATAAAAAAAATATATGTATATGTATATATATGTATATATATATGTATATATATACATATTATTTAATGTATGCGTATCTGCATAAAAATAAAGTCTCTTTTATGTCAATCTGATTCGAGGAAATAGCTTTCAATCCACTATTGTTCGTTAAAATATTAAATATATTTTATGAAATACTGACATATAAAAAACTAAATACCACCTCGTGTATATCTATTTCCTCTCATATATCTATAATCTTCTCGTTTACCATATTTACTTAAAATTCCATTTTCATAAAAAAATAAAAACTTTTGTTTTTATATTCAACACGATTTGCGATTGCATCGAATAAAGCTGCTAATTTGTCATTTAAAGCGGCCTACATTCTTAGTTATATAGTCCTGTCATGATACTTTCATATTTAAGACAGAACAGAATAAATGTTCATAAATGTCTCATAAATGTTCTCTCTCGCTGTGCCTCATTTCTATATGTATAGTATAACCACGTGCCGCTACGATATATCACATATCGCGTTATATTAGCACCGTTTCAAAGATATTCCACTTTGGAACGATCAGCGGAATATGCTTTGACAAGCGGGTGAAAATAAATGGCTCGACGAACACGTCGAATTAGACTTGTACGAGTCATATTTGTCCGTAGTTTGGTGATATTACTCGTGAAAAATCAACGAGGATCTCTTATCACTATCGTTGAATGAGGCATCTGGGAAATGCAATAAACAAAATGCTTTACATTGGCACTCAGATTACTGAAAAAACCTACAGCAAATCATCACACATAGTTATAGCGAGGCAGCTGCGTTCGTTGAATAAAAAAGAATCACATAATTCTTACGCTCTATCGAACTACAAATTTAAGTACTTTTTTATCCTTGTCGTGTTATACTTAATTTTATTATCGCTTGCGATAATAAAATTAAAAAGACTACCTGGTTTGGAGAGTCAAAAAATTAATTTGTTTAATTCATTTTTAAATAACAATTATTCAAGAGTATTTTCTGAATTTTTGAATGCAATTTGAAAGATTTTTTGAGCATTCAGTTCTAAGGTAAGATTTTGACGATTGAATGGACAAGTCAGATCAGTTTGATGATTTCTATGAATAGAATGAGCTTTTTATATGATCCAAGAATCGTCAATTGAAAAAACATACTGTAAATACAAAAAAAAAACAGATATATTCTAATATGCATTTTTTTCGAAACGAGACTTTTAAGTTTTGCTAACAACGTAGAGAAGGCAATAACTTAAGCTTTTGACGTATAAATTATGTCTATTTTTTTCTATACTAAACCTCTAATTTATATATATATACAACAAAATAATAAATTTTTGAAAAATATTTTTTCAATAATTTAATTGAACAAAATAAATTTTTTTTTAAATAGTACAATTTTATCAATTCGCGTTTTTCTTAATTTTAATAGATTTAGTATATGCATTGACTTTTTGTTTAAAATGCTTTGTTTCGGCTCTGAAGTGTCAACAATTTGATAAAATCAGATACCTATAGATATGTCTGTTCCTCATGTAGTTTCCTAATTAAATCATATTATTTTTTAATATAAAAATTCATAAATATTTTTTGAAGTGTGAGTACAAAATATTTGCGCACAACATAAATAAAAAATTTATACGCGCAATATAATAGCAATAACCGTTTTTGCAAAAAGAATATTGTTATTTTTTTGGCACTTTAAACCAGGCAGTCTCCTTAAGATAATTAGCACAATCCTTCGTTAAATTCTATTAAAAATATATACATAAGTAAAACATAAAACAATGAATAAAATACAAATTGATACAAGAAAAGCACAGGCACCCATCTGGAAGGACACTTGCGCTAGTTTTTCTTTTCTTTCTTTCTTTCTTTTTTTGGAACTTTACGTCGCGTCGCAAGGTTTTTCGTGCTACTGACAACGGGGAAGTTTTGTCGTAACAATCTAGGTAATATACATTGCAAATATACATTGAAGATTTGCGTCTCGTAATTCTGATATGTGTCGTAAATTTGAAATAAAAATTGTGGAGTTTAAGCCGT